TACTTAGTCCCGGTGATGTTCTCTGTGCATCTTCTAGAGCAGAGGTCAGCAAACTTGGTCTATACCTAGCCAGACAGCAAATATTTTGTGGGTCATATCATCTCTGAACTTTGTGGGCCATATCATCTCTGAACTATTTGACTCTGCTATTGTACTACAGAAGCAACCATAGATAAAAAAATTTTTTAAGGGCATGGCTGATAAAACTTTATTTATAAAAACAAATGGCAGGCTGTATTTGGCCCATGGCCATAGTTGCCAGGCCCTTGGTTGAAAGCTTGTCTAATTGTGATAAGTTAGGTATTCTGTTACATCTCAGAGAGAAGGGTCAGATTAGCTGTATTGTGCCCTTTTTTAAGGCATTAAACAAATCATATATCTCTTTTATATATCTAAGCATTTGGCCTTAAAAATTCATTGAGCGGCGCACCATATAATTTGTTTAACTATGGTGATTAGACAGAAAGATCAGGAGAATGGAGTTTGTAGACATAAGATTTTCTTGAATGTGTTAAACCTCCTCATTGTGCCATTTTTTTAATGGCCTCTAACAAAATCCTAATTTTATGGGATTTGATTTTTGTTCTTTTTGCATCTCTGAGCTTTCTCATTTTCTTTTTAAGTTTTTTTTAATTGTGGTAAAATATATGTAACAAAATTAACCATTTTAACTCTTTTTAAACTATTTTTAAGTATACAGTTCAGTGACATAAGTACATTCACATTGTTGTGTAACCATCACCACCGTCCTACTCTAGAACTTTCTCATCATCCCTAATTGAAACTCTGTAAACACTAAGGCTCCCTTCTCCCCTCCCCCACCGCCAGGCAACCATGATTCTACTTTCTATCTCTATGAATTTGTCTATTCTAGGTACTTCATATAAGTGGAATCATATAATATTTGTCCTTTTGTGTCTGGGTTATTTCACTTAGCATAATGTCTTCATGGTGCATCCAAGCTGTAAAGTGTGTTATAATTCCCTTCCTTTTTAAGGCTGAATAATATTCCACAGAGTATACATACCACATTTTGTTTGTCCTTCCAGCCATCAATGGATATTTGGATTGTTTCCACTTTTTGACTGTTGTGAGTAATAGGATCATGGGTGTACGAATATCTGTTTGAGTCCTTGTTTTCAGTTCTTTGGGTATATAACCAATAGTGGAATTGTTGGATCATATGATAATTCTAGGTTTAAGCTTTTGAGGAACCACCATATTGTTTTCCACAGCAGCTGAACCATTTTACATTCCTACTAGCAATGTGCAAGGGTTCCAATTTTCTTCACATTCTTGCTAATGCTTATTTTGTGTTTTGTTTTGTTTTTATAATAGCCATGCTAATAAGCATGAAGTGGTATCTCACTGTGGTTCTCATTTATTTTTATGTCAATGTTTTTAGTTAGTGTAAAAGACAGTTCATTTAGACACTACATTCATCAATGTCTGGTGCAAATTAGGGTGTGTGTGTGTGTGTGCGTGTGTGTATAGATGCTTTTATTCCTCTCCCAGTTCCAAAATTATGTGAGATGATTTCCAGGAACATATGAACAATAAGATGAATCATATAAGTAGCTAAATTCATGGCATTGGGTATACAGAAGACTAAAAAAATGAAACGATGGCCAAAATTAGATAAACTTGAGACTGTGTTGTAATGTCTTCAACAATTACTTAAATTTTTAAAGCTTTTTTTTTTTTTTTTTAAAGATTTTACTTATTTATTTGACAGAGAGAGAGGGAGAAGCAGGCTTCCCACGGAACAGGGAGCCCGATGTGGGGCTCGACCTCAGGACCCTGCGATCTGACCTGAGCGGAAGGCAGATGCTTAACTGACTGAGCCACCCAGGCGTCCCGACAATTACTAAAACTGAAGTGGCAAATTTAATCCTGAAAGAATTAGGCCAAAGACAAAGGGGAAAGAGGTCCAGATTCATTTATTCCAGATGATGAAAGCTCAGGAAAAAAGATTTTTCTTGGCTTATAGATGTAAGAAATAATCTGTAACAGTTTTAAAAGAAGTGATTTTAAAAAAAAAAGGAGAAATGATTATATTAGTGCCCCCAGCAGATTTCAGACTGAAAGCAAACAAAAATTTTGATGGCACCTGGAAATGGCTCCCCATAGCCTGACTTCTCTCAGGGTAAAATGGTCATTTCAGAGTAAAATTAGGAAAACACAGAGTCAACGTTTTCTGTAGCACAACATGCAAGATCTTGAATTGCCTCATACGTTTATATATGTCCTGGCATTTCCTTTCCAGGTCACAGATTACAAACATATACATGTTTGTACAAATAGTCTTCTTAAGAGTATATCCTTATCTCCCTTTTGGAAAGAAGGGAAGAGCTTCATGTTCAAATTTGATAGTGAAATTTCTGTTTCAGTGTGAAACTACAAGAACAAATGTATCATTTTCAAATTTGTAATAGGAAAAAAAGACTTCATGATAAGTAGATATGCTGTCAAACCAGTCTCAAGCACTTAAAGAGCAAAAGAAATAAAAAATAAGAATAGAAGCCATATGAAACAGATGTTTTTAAAGAACTGAGAAAGTGTCAAAATTACCCTAACATTGAAAGATTTGGTCTGAAGTTTTACCCAGAAGTTTGGATTAAAGGCAGTAATACACAGCGGAGGTTTCTTGAACATTTACAATGTTCTAGGCACAATTCAAAGTGCTTTGTATGTATTAACTCACTTGTTCCTCTACACTTAATACTGTTATCATCATCATTCCCATTTTATTGAGAGGGAAACTGAGGCACGGAGCAGCTAAGTATCCTTGCTGTAGTTCATACAACTGGGATTCACACATAACCATGCAGTCTGGCTCCAGCGGCCACTCACTTCCCCACGAAATCATACTGCCCCTTGATGTTATGGCAAATGAACCAAGGAAGTACTGGTTTAGCTAGCTGGCAAATAAACAGCTCAGATTTCTGTTTGTCCCTACAATTGTGTGTGTGTGTGTTTCTTTAGAAGACCAAACTTACCCTAATTATTCTTGAAATCTCCCTTAATATTCTATACAATTCCTTTTGGTAAATTTTTACAAATCATGCTCCAGATTCCAGTTGAATGATGAAACTTTATGCCATTAAAAATTATGTTTTTACAGAGTTTTTAAGAATGTGGAGGAATGCTTATAAAATGAAGCAAAGCAGCAAGATGTAAATTTGTTGGAAGCCAAGTTCCACCCCTCACCCCTCAAAAAAATTCTACTTTAAAAAAAAAAAAAGATGGGAACGTTTAATTGTGGTTATCATTGGGTAGGAATAATAGGAATGATTTCTGTTCCTGCTTTTCTTAATTTCCGTAAAATTTACCTGAATACCTTTATAGCCCAAAAAAATGAAATAAACTTCGTTTTTTTAAAGGACCTTTTTACAAAAGCACAGTACAAAGCTCCTAATGATAACCTTAAATGCATATTTAAAATCATCTCCACAGGGCGCCTGGGTGGCTCAGTTGGTTAAGCGGCTGCCTTCGGCTCAGGTCATGATCCTGGAGTCCCGGGATCGAGTCCCGCATCGGGCTCCCTGCTCGGCGGGGAGTCTGCTTCTCCCTCTGACCCTCACCCCTCTCATGCTCTCTGTCTCTCATTCTCTCTGTCTCAAATAAATAAAATCTTTAAAAAAAATAAAATAAAATAAATAAAATAAAATCATCTCCACAGAGCCCTGTACTGTATGAGTGAAGGTGACATGGTTTAGACTTGCACTGTTGTATATGGACTTTTTCTTAAGATTGATTGATTGATTTTAGAGAGAGACAGCGAGGGGGGCGGGGGCAGAGGGAGAGAATCTCAAGCTGACTCCCCGCTGAGCGCAGAACCCAGTTCGGGCTCCATCCCACAACCCTGAGATCATGACGTGAGCCGAAATCAAGAGTGGGACGTTGAACCGACTCAGCCACCCAGGCGTCCCATGGCTGTTTAATGAAAATGAAATAAAATAAAAAACTCAGATCAGCAGTACACTAGCCCCATTTGAAGCGTTCAGTAGCCACAAGTGGCCAGTGACAGCTTTTCCGTCCACACAGGAAGTTCTGTTGCATAGCACTGCTTTCAAGGGAAGAACATGGAATCTGGAGCGCGGTGACTTGGCATCAAATCCTGGTAGGAGTTGACACTTGCTGTGTGAAATGGGCAATTTACTCAACCTCTCTGAGCCTATAGACAAATTAGGGGTCATAATAATACCGCTTTCCATGTAAGGAGATTAAGAATCTCGAATAAGATAATGCATGGGACAGTTCTCCAAAAACTGTACTGTGGTTCACCAGCTTCACAAACCCCCCAGTTGAACTTAATCTAGCTCTTCGTGGACTGACTCCGAATCCATACCTGGTTCCTACCGAGACTTTTGCCTAAACGACACCGTAAAAATCAGACTTACCAGCTCTTACCACAGTTCCTAGGCCAAGTCCTTGGCAATGTGGATGTTCCATTTCTCTCTTGTAAAAAGCTTCAGCACATAGCTCCATCTATCTACCTCCTCCAGGTTTTCCTTGACAACTTAAATACACTGCTATTTCCATTCCTAAATGGACAAGACTGTCTTTAAAAAGAAAGCAAAGAAAGAGGCTTGTCTGCCCAAGAAATAAATGGGGTAAAATGCTATAACTAAAAGGAAATCAGTCTCGGTTGACAGTGCAGGAGTTGAGCTGAAGATGTTGCCGTTTGCTGCAAGAACGTGAGGTTTTCACTAACGAATTACAACAGGTTTGCTGTGCCTCAAAGCTGTTAGGGTACTGATTAAGTGCAAGTACTTGCTCATTCTTGACTTTTTTTTCCCGAGTCACTTCTGGTTTTTCCTGCAAAACAGCTTGACTAATTTAGACTCTGTTCACGCTGCTGTATTTATTTCTCATCTAACCACCTGCTAGTTAAGCGTGAGTCTCGCATTGTCTTAAAAGAATGAAGTAGCCCAGTTGAGGCTCGCTGTGGCGCGGACCCCACGCTCACCTTCCCTTCTGCTCCCGCCCGCCCCCAGGTCTCCTCCAGCCGTGGATGCCTTTGACATTATGACCGCAGAGGATTCCACCGCAGCCATGAGCAGCGACTCGGCCGCCGCCGCGTCCTCAGCCAAGGTGCCGGAGGGCGTGGCCGGCGCGCCCAACGAGGCGGCGCTGCTGGCGCTGATGGAGCGCACGGGCTACAGCATGGTGCAGGAGAACGGGCAGCGCAAGTACGGCGGCCCGCCGCCCGGCTGGGAGGGCCCGCACCCGCAGCGCGGCTGCGAGGTCTTCGTGGGCAAGATCCCGCGCGACGTGTACGAGGACGAGCTGGTGCCCGTGTTCGAGGCGGTGGGCCGCATCTACGAGCTGCGCCTCATGATGGACTTCGACGGCAAGAACCGCGGCTACGCCTTCGTCATGTACTGCCACAAGAGCGAGGCCAAGCGCGCCGTGCGCGAGCTCAACAACTACGAGATCCGCCCGGGCCGCCTGCTCGGCGTGTGCTGCAGCGTGGACAACTGCCGCCTCTTCATCGGCGGCATCCCCAAGATGAAGAAGCGCGAGGAGATCCTGGAGGAGATCGCCAAGGTCACCGAGGGCGTGCTGGACGTGATCGTCTACGCCAGCGCGGCCGACAAGATGAAGAACCGCGGCTTCGCCTTCGTCGAGTACGAGAGCCACCGCGCCGCCGCCATGGCGCGCCGCAAGCTCATGCCCGGCCGCATCCAGCTCTGGGGCCACCAGATCGCCGTGGACTGGGCCGAGCCCGAGATCGACGTGGACGAGGACGTGATGGAGACCGTGAAGATCCTCTACGTGCGCAACCTCATGATCGAGACCACCGAGGACACCATCAAGAAGAGCTTCGGCCAGTTCAACCCGGGCTGCGTGGAGCGCGTCAAGAAGATCCGCGACTACGCCTTCGTGCACTTCGTCAGCCGCGAGGACGCCGTGCACGCCATGAACAACCTCAACGGCACCGAGCTGGAGGGCTCGTGCCTCGAGGTGACGCTGGCCAAGCCCGTGGACAAGGAGCAGTACTCCCGCTACCAGAAGGCGGCCAAGGGCGGCGGCGCGGCCGAGGCGGCGGTGCAGCAACCCAGCTACGTGTACTCTTGCGACCCCTATACGCTGGCCTACTACGGCTACCCCTACAACGCGCTCATCGGGCCCAACAGAGACTACTTTGTGAAAGGTTAGTGGGGGCTGTTCTGCGGGGGCGGGGGGGGGGGGGGGGACGAGAGCCGCGGGGCCCGGGCCGCGTCAGGGGCGTTGTGGCTGTCATTGGCCGAGCTGGTAGATGGGCTCCTCCCCCCACTCACCCACCCTCGTTTGAGTCCCAGTTGTGGGGTCTGTTCTTGGCTGGCACTTAGGGCGTTCGCTTCCATAGCACTGAGGGAAATGCAGGTCATTCCTCTGTATGGGGTGAGCGGTGGAATCACACGGGCATGCAAGCGTTTCTTGCATACTACCTTTGCAGGACCTACCCAGTTTGGGGCTAGTCCGCCAGTCTCTGGGTACTTAGGTTAAAACCTCCTTGTGAAATTAAATCTTGAGGATGTTGGGGGGTAAGAAGCAGGATGTTGGCGTGGTGGTATTGGTGAACTTACTGGCTAGGGTATCATGAAACCAGGCATTGCACAGGGAAACCAGTACCCAGGTTCTGGGTCCTGCCGTCATCAGATTAACTGGCTCTGTGACTTTCATCAGTCCTTTAACCTCCCTGGGCCAGTTTTCTCACGCATGAGATAAGGAAGGCGAACCAACAGATCCCCTTCCAGATAACTTTTTTTTCAGCCCCTGAATGTTGTTCTTTATTGAAGTTGCAGTTGCAGTCCTAGGAACTCACCATGCAAGTTCATCTCTTGCGTTGAGCAGACCTACTTAGGGTACGAATCTAGGCGGGAATAGAATGTTGAAAGCATCTTCCCAGCTCACTGAAGAGCAACCTACACATCACCTGCAACTTAGACAAAGGGCAAACACCTAAATGCCAAGAACCTTGAGTTAAGATCAGCCTCTTGCACAGTCACTGTTGGATGCTCATCATTGTGTGTATTGTTATTATAAGCAGGCAGCGTAAGAGGCCGGGGTCGAGGTGCGGCCGGCAACAGAGCCCCAGGGCCCAGGGGTTCCTACCTCGGGGGATATTCAGCTGGCCGTGGTATATATAGCCGATATCATGAAGGGAAAGGAAAGCAGCAAGAAAAAGGATATGAACTCGTACCGAATTTGGAAATCTCTGCCGTCAATCCAGTTGCCATTAAACCTGGTACAGGTCAGTATGAACCAGAGATAGAATGCATCCATTCAGCTAAAACCCCAGTGCTCTCTTTGAAGTGACCCCAAGATGTCCTCGGGCTCTTTCATTTGCACCTGCGTTCCTCTTCCAACAGGCAGCCAAAGGTTAGGCAAAGACTGTGGCCTCCTGGGCCCTCTTTTCTAGAACTTGAGGGGATGGTCCAGCTCTGATCATATTCAAGTCAAACTTTCCAGTAGTGGGTTTGATGCCACCAGTTGTTAGGCTGTTTCTCAAGCTGTGACCCAGTAGGCAGAGTTGGAGTGGTGGGGAGGGGCGGAGGAAGACAATGGAAGAATGGGAGGCTCTTCTGTACCTTCTTTGAGCTCAAGCTGTCTTCTCTCTCCTCGACCCTATTGCTACACCAGCAGTCAGTGGCCGGAGGATACAGCTGATCGCCGGTTCTGACAGTTGGTGGAAAGGGTAGAAAATTCCCCTTAGGGGGCACAAAACACAAATGTCCCTTGTCGTGGTCTTGGAACAAACCAGAACACCTGGGAACAAGGCAGCGGTGAAAGTTTTTGCAGCTGCTCATTTCCTAGATTCTGATTTCCAGCACTCCTCTCTGCCCCTCTCGCTGGATCACTAGATTGGGGGTAGGGACACTCAAGTAATTCAAGCCAGAAACCTTGAACGTTGCGTTCACCTCCAGGCCCCACAAACCAGTTTGCCAGCGTTAATAGTGCCCATTGGTCACCTAACACGAGTCCGGTCTTCTTTCTGATCCTAACTTGAGAGGAACTCCATGAAGAGAGCATCGTGGTACCAGCTCCCTATTAGCACACATCACACAGGCATCCAAACGGGGAAAATTCCTTCGTGGACAGGCAGAGCGATCCTCCTCCAGCCCTGTTCCCGGTTTCAGGGAGGGCAGATCGAAGAGCTCTTGGAGAGAATCTTCCCTTTGAAGCTCAGCTACTCTGATTTTCTTCTAGTTGAGGATTGCGCACTCCGTCCCCTAGCTAAGAGATTCAAGGAATCTGCATTTGGGGCATAGGTTTGCGTTGCCACATAGGGCTTAAAAAGCCTTTTCCCGGTAGAGCTTCCTTTTGATAATCCAGTGATAATTTTTTTTTTCCTGTGAAAAAATGTAAATTCTCAGTCAGGTGACTCCTTACGCTGGATTTCCTTATAAATGCCGTTGACACCATAAGCAGTGTTAAACTGATCATGTGTCTCTCTGTAATGCCATAAAACAGAGCCTGGATGTGGGAGTTGTCACTTCTACTTGTTGGAAAAGGGACTCCTGTTGGCAAGTTGCAATAGTTGAAGATTTAACTAGAGAAAAGAACTCTTAAACCATCTTTAAGCGTATAGTCGTGTCGTGGGGCCTGACGTAGAAATTCCTATGGGCTGATAGCCAAAACAATCCAGAGGTCCTCAGTATAGCCCCAGTGTAGCTTAAACTCCTAATTGCCTCAGGTCCCCATCCCCTTGGCCTCTGTTTCTAATGCATCCAGAAAATTAGAACTTCTAGTGAAGTATCTGGCCACAAGACCATATGATTGAAAAGGCCGGTGAGGGATTTTGTTAAGGTTTTAGGTCCATTTTATTGAAAGGCCATACCATTGTTGAGCCTGCAATCATTTGTTTCTTCACCTCACATCAAGTTAGCTTGTAGTAGAGTAAATATACCTACAGTTGTAGGAAAAAACATAAATGAAAGCCCACTCTGTGTATGCATTTTATAGTCTTGCTTACCCTTCAACACATGCCCACATACCACCTACTCACAGACTCCCCCAAAACCAGGGCTAGAATTTTTTCCTTGTTATCTCTTTCTGTCATATGTGGGCATTCATTAACTGCTATCTGTTTGAGCCCCTGGTTAAAATAGAATCCCTTGAGTAATGTTTGAGCCCCTGGTTAAAGTAGAATCCCTTGGACTTTACTCACGGAAACACATCTTTGAGTTGGCAGGGCCCATCCTAAAACCAGTCACTCTGCTGCTTCGCTACTGAGTGGACATTAGAAAATGAGGGAACTTGCCATTTTTTATTAAGTATTTTTCCTTGAATCAGTAATGCTGAAATCTGAAACACAGAGTGGGGAAGGCGTGCACAGACCTCTGACTTCCCCAGAAGGAAACCCTCCCCAGAACCTGCTTCTTAAAATGTGAAAGGGAAAGGGTGGCGGGTCTGGTAATGAGCCAGGTGAGTGATGAGGGCCGGCAGGCTCACTCCCGCTCGCACCTGGTGGGCCTCGAGCCTCTGATCTCACTTCTCACTCTGAGCCTCCCCTCTCAGTCAGAAGGCCCTTTCCTGTGCTGTGGGAACAGCAAGAGTGGGATTCAAGATGAGATTTCTCTGTAGCAGCAGGAGGAAAAATGTTGGTGCAGACACCTAACTCTGGACATCTTTCCATGAGCATCTGTTGGGAGACTCCATCTGTACCCATGTGGTTCCTTTTGCGGGTTGAGCAGGGCTCGGGGGACGTACCTCCCAGCTCCCCTCTCTTCCTCCTGGGTAGCGCCTTGGTACCTGGACTGAGGGAGCATCAGTTAGCCAGGGAGGCCCGTGACTGCCACACTTGGCTTTGAAAAATAGCAAGAAAGCGACGGGTCTTCCTGGGGGACTTTCAAGTGATTTGCGTTTCCCTGTCCCTTCTCTTGCAGTGGCCATCCCTGCCATTGGGGCCCAGTATTCCATGTTTCAGGCAGCGCCAGCCCCTAAGATGATCGAAGACGGCAAAATCCACACAATGGAGCACATGATCAGCCCCATCGCCGTGCAGCCAGACCCAGCCGCCGCCGCCGCCGTCATTCCTGCCGTGTCAACGCCGCCCCCATTCCAGGTAGAGTGCTTGCTGGGGTCCTCGACATCCGACATCCGTGTGGGAGGCCTCCCTTTATCGTGGATTCATTTCCCCGTCGGCAGGAGAATTCGCTGTGTGCCTAGCTCTCTGATGAAGCATGGGATGGGGTGACAGGAAAAATGGGTCCTGTAAATCATGCCAGGACAGAAAAGTTTCAAATAATAATTGTACTACCCTAATGTCATCACTCTATGAAAGATGGGAAGCCATTCGCAAAAATGACACATGTAATTCTTCACGGTGTCATGATATTGTACATATGTTTTTTTTTTATGACCGCTGGATAATTTTTAACTCAATGTTCTTACTGTCAAGCGGCGGACTCCCAAAGTCCAGGGAGATCGCTCACATTTTCACATTCCAAATTGCAGTTCGAGGAAGATTCTTTTTTTTTTTTTTAAGTTCTCTCAGGGCGCCTGGGTGACTCAGTCGGTTAAGCTTCTGACTCTTGATTTTGGCTCAGGGTTGTGAGATCGCGCCCCACATCAGGCTCTGTGCTCAGGGCAGAGTCTGCTTGAGATTCTGTCTCCCTCTGCCCCTCCCCACCCCGAGATCTTTCTCACTCTCTCTCTCTCTCTCAAATAAATAAGTGAATCTTTTTAAAAAAAAAAAAAAAAGTTCTCCCCCCCCCACCTGTGTATGAATATTTCAGTATGTATATCCATATACAGGTATATAAGAGTGTGCGTGGAGAGAGAACTATCTGTAGAGATATAGCTATACAAAACTTCACAAAATCTGCCCTTAATCCTCTCCTCTAAGCAGACCCAGCCATTCCCATTCCTCCTCCTCCCAGTCCAGTCTTACCGTGCCAGCCTCCTTCCCCACCTTTGCTCACAGCTTCTCTACTGTGTGGTGTCCAGTCTTGTGACTTCTGTAGAATCTTTCCCATCCACCCGAGCCTTGGAAATCCTGTCTCCTGGATGTCTCGTCACCCACGTTTCATGAAACTCCTCTAGACTGAGAGTTACATCTTATGTTTTCTTTTTATCATCAGTGCATAACACATAGGGAACATTCGTCCAAACAAAACCAAACAAAACAATAGAATCTTGTTAGAGCTACTTTTTGTGAGGCGGTGAATCTCAAATACCTTTTCAGTCAACAAAGATACTCAGGCCTGGGGTCTCTTCCCTAACTGGATTAGAATTATCCAGAGAATATGTTTACAAAACAGATTCTTAGACTCAAACCCCAGAAGATTCCCACTGGGCAGATCTCAGCTGGGGTTCTAGAATCCACGTTTGGTATCGGCTCCTCAGTGAGGCCGGCTGGTGAGCCGCCCCACAGGAGTGCGGTCGCTTTTGCCTTCTCCGTGCACAGTCTTGACTGCGCCAGTCAGAAATGGTCACGCCAGTTGAAGTATATTCATCTATCAGTGGGTCATCAAGTATTCCTTAAGACTGGACTTCTAAAGCCAGAAAAAGGAATCGGTTGTAAATGACTCACACTCTAAAATGGCAACTGAGGGTAGCTGCTACTTGTGGACTGACTAATAAATATCTGCAGTAACCTCCAAACAATAGTTAGTGGAATTCTGGTAACAATTGCGGATTTCTCTTTACTAAGAAACTCATGCACTTTTGTCCTTGGTGCGTAGTGTCCCAAATTCCAGTTTTCGTACTCACGCTGTTGCGGTCTTTTATCAGTCTCCACTCAGTTTTGCCATCAGGGTCTCTGTTCAGAGTCTTTGCTTATGAATTTGTTCAGTAGACAGTCATTATTAGTTGATTCCGGTGGAGATTTTCTTCCCCCTGTTCTTCAACATACCCTGCGGAATGCCTGGAGCTACTTACTTTTGAACTCGGGCATGACTTCTTTGAGTATGTGTGGCCTTGGTGCTCATCCACCAGTCTCAGTTCTCTGCATCCTCCCTCTGAGTTCTTTGACCCTGGGCTCTCTGAATGCCTGGCTCTCTGCCCCGACTCCTGTGTTCTCTGCCAAATTGCAGCAGGAGGAGCATTAAGCACTACTGATTGGTGAGTAGAACACTTTTCCAAATGGAGCCACACTAGAAATCCATTCCCAGCATTACTTCCAGAGCCTTCCTGTGGAACACCTTCAGTCATACTCCTCTGTCTTGCACGTGCTCAGGGATGTTCCTGCTTAGCCATTTTATATCCTCAATTTCATAAAGGCTTTGTAAGTAATTTAAGAAAATGTTTACTGGCATAGACTTTTTTTTTAATTTATTTCTCAAAGTGTTCTCAATCTTTACAAATCTGTGGTATAAGTAGAGCAGGGATCGCCATTCCCCTTGGTGAGGTCTTTTCCTCACCTCTCTCCTCCCCCAACTCCCCATGCTCAACCCTTCCAAGCCTAGGTGTTGAGCTGGACCATAGCACATGGAAAGGTTTCTCTCGGATGTCCTCTTCCCTGCAATTTCATCCCTCTGTGCACTTGTCACTAAATATATGTCCACCCATTTGGAAAAGATTGCTTGTATCTTGCTGTAAGGCACCATCTTCCCCCTTCTGAAGTTTCTTTTTTTTTTTCCTTCCCCTTCTGAAGTTTCTCTCTTGCCAATGAGATATTCGTTGTTTCAGTGTTGTAGGAGACGAGATAAGACAGGGCTAAAAGTGCAGGCTCCAGAGTCACACATTTCATTGCTTAAGAGCTGTGTCACCTTGTGCAGGTCATTTAACACATCCAAACCGCTCCGTATAATCATAGTACCAGCTTCATTGGTGGTTGTGATGATTCCATAACTCATACAAATAAGGCACTTAGAATAGTGCCTGGCAGACCACAGTCCCTCGGTTGTTATTATCATTTAGTAGAATTACTATTTTGGTTACAATGGAAAAAATGGCTCTTAGGTGGTGACTTTTCCTTTGAATGTAATTTTGCGACTCTCCTTTGCAAATTTTGTAAACGAATGATAGCTAATTCCCTTGCAAAAATCCAGGAAGAACTCATTTTTAAAAATTGAATTCTCCATTTCATATATCCTGAATTGCTTACTTTGACGATGCGTGAAGACATGGAGGCCATAGCGACGTTTACTGCAGGGTATTCTGAGGAACACAAAGCGCGCTAGGTATTTTGTTAAGTGCGTGTTTTATTTTACCACAAATCCCCCTTTCCATAAAGCATCTCACAGAACTGGCTCCAGAGCAAACCCTTTGGGAAATACTGAACCACAGGCTTCACTCTTTACACCTATTTGCTTGGAAAATGTAGCATGTTAGTCTTTCAAGTAGAGAAGAGCAAGTGGCAGGGACTCTGATGGAGCCCACTGTGGCATCTGTCATGAGGCAGCTGTAGGGAGCTTGCCTTTCCCTACTTCCTTCTCCTATGGAAACTCCTCCTCATCCTTCAAGACCCAGTTCAAATGTCTCTGCTTCCACGATGCTTCCTCCAGCTTCCCAAGTGAGTTGGTTCCTTTTCTGAGCCTCTACACCCATCTGTACAGTTGACCCTTGAACAACACAAGGGTTAGGTGTGTCCCCCCCATGCAGTTGTAAATAAATCCATATAAAACTTTTGACTCCGCCACCAACTTAACTACTGACAGCCTACTGTTGTCCGGAAGGTTTACTGAGAACATAAACAGTCGATGAAACATAGATTCTGTATGTTGCATGGATTATATACTGTATTCTTACAGGAGAGTAAGCTAAAGAAAAGAAAATGGGTGAGAAAATCATAAGCGAGAGGAAGCACATACATAGTACTGTGCTGAACTTAGCGGAAAAAATCCACATAGAAGTGGACCCACTCAGTTCAAACCCGTGTTGTTCAAGGGTCAACTGTATATATCGTGGGTGTCATACCTTAGGTGGGAGATGGTTGAAATCATCAGTCACACTTACTGAAAATTGTGGTCACCGGGTTTTTAGGTCACAGCTTAAAAAGCTGTGCCTACGGAGATCCCTGCACTGGCTTCCGTAACATTGTCACTGTCTGTTGTCCCCTCCCGTTTTTGCAGCGCCATGTTCCTTCAGTTAAATAAGAGTTGAGGCGGCTGGCGTGTATTTTAGGGACCATATTTTGAATTACGGTGAGATCAACTGAGCAAAGGGTAGATTCTCCGCTCCCCTTTCTAGCTGCCTCTGGGGCATGGGCGGCTGGAAAGGAATGGCAAGATAGACGATTCCAGCGTATTTAAACTTTCCCTGAGCTTGGCGGTTCCGTCACTTTGACCAGTTGAACTCCAAGGAGCCTTGAGACGCAACTCCAGCTTACCTTAATGGCCCTTACACCAGTTACTGATTTTGCCCGTCCGCCTCCCCGCCCCGAGAATGAAAACCTTTGCCTTCACCTGTTCCTGCAGCGCGCCCCGGGGAACGGGAAGAGTGAAGGGAGCCGGGCCCGCGGGGGTTGACTCCGCGGGCCGGGCAGCGCCGCGCGGTCGGTAAGGAGCCTTTCCGTGTCTCGCCCCCAGGGCCGCCCGATCACCCCAGTGTACACGGTGGCTCCGAACGTTCAGAGAATTCCCGCCGCTGGGATCTACGGGGCCAGTTACGTGCCGTTCGCTGCTCCGGCCACCACCACGATCGCCACACTACAGAAGAATGCGGCCGCCGCCGTGTACGGAGGCTACGCGGGCTACATACCTCAGGCCTTCCCCGCCGCTGCTATCCAGGTGCCCATCCACGACATCTACCAGACGTACTGACACTGGTGAGTTGAGTGGAGGCAGACGGCGAACTACCCCGAAGGAACATTGTACTATTTATGAAGAAAGAACGCGTGGGATTAGCACACTCACGAAACCTGCAAGTGAAGAATGTTATCCAGTATCGCCCTGAAAGATTTTATATTCATGAAGTTTCCACTGGTTGTTTTGTTTTTCTTTTTTGGAAAAAAGACTGTTTTCGACTTAGCCCTTGTTCATACATTTCTAAGAGACTCGCACCGGTTCGTGCCTTAATACCATCTCTCAAAAATTTGTATGCCATAGTACGTTTGTATAGAGGTTTTTTTGTTTTTGTATTTTTAAGGATATATTTTCAGTATGAAGGTTATTTTCTTAACTTCTACACTCCAGAGATTTCTATTTTGTAGTACCTTCGATAATATATCAACTATATATTGAAAAGCACGTTTGAGCAGCTAGGGACCTGTTTTGAAAAATAGATTCAATATTTAAAGATACAAACAGTAGTGCTTTAAAATACTACATAAAATGTTATTTTAAAAGTTATACTAGAAAGTGCAATTTCAAAGTGAGTGAAATCTCTATTTCAGCTGCATTAAGGGTTGATGGTGTTACCACGTGTTAAGATGACAGTTCTATTTTTTTTTTTTTGAAAGAAAGTAAACACTCGATCTCTCTTTAAGCCCACATTGAAAAGACTTGTCACACTTCTAAGTCCACACACTGTAAGGCTCTCACCTGCCACCATTACCCTGTTTCCCCGCTCCTTCTCCATGTGTCTTGCCCTCCCCACACCCCTACTCATTCCTTCCTTCCTTCCTATCCCCAGCCCCACCTCCAAGTTTGGCAAGTCTAGGGCAAATGAATTCCTCTGATAGAACTTTGATGGCTTTTATACTTCTTCCTGGGTTTTTGTGGGGGTTTTCTGTTTTGTTGTGGGTTTTTCTTTTTGTCTTGGTTGGAGAGGTATTTTCAATAGCAGACTATGCATAAGTACAAGATTTTAGTAGTTTCCATAAGACATTTTTGCATAGCTATTTAATGTCTCATATAAAACCTTACTTCCTTTTCTAATGCTTTTATTTTATTTGTTTTTGAAGTATGAGTTTGTAGAGACAGTGAATGTTGTTGTCGGCAAGGCCCCCAGAGACTCTTGTCGCAGAAAGTTATGCTTCTAGCTGCCTTATCATGTTTCAGTGCACATTGTCTGTGGTCGTCAAGGGTATGGGAAATACTGTGTTTATTGAGCAGGGCTTTCCTCTGTTGCTGTGCACGTGGTAGGTGAGCTGACTTGGGGCGTGCACACCCAGGAGGAGGAGGAGAGACCTGTAGAAGTTAAAAGATAGCTTGTAAATAATTTCCTAATGCTGGTTTTTAGTTGTTTAATGTTGCGGAAGTTCTTGGTATATAGTTTAATGCAGAGTGAAACCATTTTATTTCAATGTTATTAAAAAGTTTTGTTTATTATTAGGAAGTAAATGTATTGTTGCAGTGTTGTGCCTGTTTCAAGGCTTTTGTTTAGCAGAGTGAATGTAAAATACAGTAAAATGTTAAGATTGTCATCTGCTTTATGAAATACATCAACTTGGAACTTTTTTTTAAAGGCTCCATCAAGGAATTGAGGTGTGCAATAGGTAGCAAGGACACAGTTGTGTGTTTATGTCACATTAGAGATCTATAAAATCTGTCCACTCACTGAATTTTTGCTAATGGCTGAATTCTTATTTATGGATTAAGAATAGGAGCATGCCTTTAGCAAGTATTTTAGTTTTGTTTTAAATTTTAAATTAAGAGATTCCCAAATGCCTTTTCCCTCCCCCTCATCTTAGGGTGGGATGAATTTTTTATATATAAGCAATATTTATTTAACTATTCTATAAAATTATTGAGTGCCTGCAAAGGCCTTTAAACATTTCTAACATTTCTTTCCATCATTCTTAAATGACATGAAATAATCGTGCAATGTTCCTGATGATGTACCCAGCAAGCTGCATCCAAACTCGAATCTGTTTGAATGAGTAATCCAACCAAATGCAATTTGGATCAGATCCTCATCCCTTGACTTGGTGTGAAAGAACTCCTTCCAATGAAGGATTGTCACAGAGTTCACTGGATGAGACTCTGACCTAGCAGTCTTACTGTATTTTACATATGCCTGTAAATTATTTGCAAAATAATAATAATAATGAAAAGAAAAAAAATTGATATCTTAACATGGCAACTACCAAACTACCTTAAAAACAGATATCGGTGAGCCTCCTCTTTATGGTCTGTTTCTGTTTCAAAACCATTTCACATACACTACTGAGGTAAGTTTATAACTTGAAATGTGAACTTTTTTTTTAAGGGTTAAGAACAAACTAAATGTTAAAAAAAAAAAAGCTTTAGTGTTCTTTGTTTTCAAACATTGCTAGTAGTTTAGTTATCTTTAGTTGCTTTGTATTTGAAAAGCTTTTAAGTTTATTTAGATCTTTCTCCATTTACAATACATTCTTAGGATGTATGCAGTAAATAAAGCTTTCTTTAAAGCAGTTTCAAGACCTTATTTTAAATTGTGTTTTCTTTATACTGATTATTTTTTCCTAACAAAATTAGAGAAACCCTTACAGTATGGAAGAAGCAACTACTTCAGTATTTTCAGCCAGAGAAACCAGCAAGTTACTATCATGTTTTTGGCTTGGAATTACATTGAAGATGGGTTATATAGTAAAAATTGTGCATTATCAGTTTCATCAAACTTGAGCTTAGGTGGTTGAAGGTTAAGCACCCAAATTCTGCTCAACATCTGGACTGGAATAGGATGTGGCTAAGTCTGTCATTGCTGTCAGTCCTGATGTTTATGTTTATGATCCCAAGAGCTCCACACTCAGACCTCTAAATGGAGGCAGTTGATGTGACATTGAGTTTGTTTGGTGATCTTGTGAACATGCTGGGTGACCTGAAGGTCCATCACTGCATTCAGAAACCAAAGCCTTGTGTCCCTCATTTTCACAGTGCACGGCAAGGTTAGCAGGACACTTCCTCTCTTCTCTCTAGAGAGCATCACTAACTTCAGACATTGTCCATTGGCAAAGCCAATCAGATGGTTCAAGGGCAGGTGATAGGTTGTCAATAGAATTACTTCTAAAAAACTTGCCCCACATGGCTTTACCATTGATTAAGAATTTTACCTTTTAGTCTTGAGCGGTCTGGGTTACGGCCTTCTCACATTTCTGGGAATGGTAACTTCTTGCTTCCTCTTAAAAAGATAAAGCCCTTTTTTAGAGGCAGGAGGGACCAGCAAACATCCCAAGATGACAGATCATTAGGCAATATTTTCAAGGGCAACAAGATCTGCCGGTTTCTTTTTGTTCTAAGAGAAGAGTACAGATGCTCTTCAAATTGCAGAATCACAGAGTTTGATCTCATTAGAAAAAGAATAATCGTACAAAATGTGTATCACACCTCTACTAGGTGCTGGGGTTGGTTCTGTGTGCTTCTAGCAACCACAGCATGAATAAGCCCACAAAATCGTGCACGAGTAGAGCTTACATTCCGGTGGGAGAACACAGACAGATTGAGCAGATAAACAGCCTGGTGGGTAGGGAGAAATGCTATGATGACGTGACTCATTGGGCTCCTTGGCTTCCATAATCTCATGTGGACCTCACAGTAACTCAGTGAAGTAAGCAGTGTAACTGGCCAAGGTCACACAGCTGGTAAGGACCTGGACTGAAATCTGTGCTCAGATTCCAGTCTCGGATTCTTGCTACCAGTACACTGACCCTGGAAGTGGATAAAACCAGTCATGCCAACAGCCCACCTCAGAGACCAGAGAGAGAAAAGCAGAGCTGCTCTGCAAGTGCACTTTTCCATTGGATTCTAAAATGGTTCCGCATGTGGCCCCTTTCCTTGGATGAGACCTGAAGGCCAAATGGCTGAAAATGCCTCTTCTCAGCCTACAAGACCTCGCAGCTCTACGTAGAGCTGCTAAAAATGTCCACGCTGGGAGATCTAAGGAATTCTATCTACAAGGCTGTGCCAGAGATGGTAGAGAAAGCTAAAGAACTTCATAGGAAGTCAACTATACCCTTCTGATTCTTCACTAGAATAGGTGCCCCACTTTTTTATTCTGAAAATATCTGTCATGACAATATACATAAGCAGTTATTTAGTTGAAAGTCAGAACAGTTAGAAAACAAAGCTCTGGTTTTGTTTTCTAGTGAAGGATAATCCCGTGACAGTCCAACATTCACTGGATGCTGTTACATGGCATGCACTGTGTGTGGTGTGTTTTGTCAGCTATAATTGACCTTCCTGGCTTATTAAAACTCTGTTTTAAGGATATTAGGGTGCTTGGCTATTGAACAGAAATATATAGAGAATATTACCTCAATTATTACCTTACAAATCTTCTGGGCACTCAGCTTCTACCAGAGTTGGGTTTTTGTTTTTTCTTTTTTAACATGAAATGTGACATTTTGGCATGGCTGTTTTGATGAAATGACATTTTGACACCATGACCCTTAAAAAAAAAAAACACACATCTTCAGCTTTTATAAAAACGATTGGGCAGGGGCGCCTGGGTGGCTCAGTTGGTTAAGCGACTGCCTTTGGCTCAGGTCATGATCCTGGAGTCCCGGGATCGAGTCCCACATCGGGCTCCCTGCTCGGCAGGGGGTCTGCTTCTCCCTCTGCCCTCTTCCCTCTTGTGCTCTCTGTCTCTCATTCTCTCTCTCAAATAAATAAATAAAATCTTAAAAAAAAAAAAAACCAAAACGATTGGGTAGGCTGATACAGACGTACTCACTTTATCCTTGCCCTACCGCTTTCTTGACACATTCCCCATCTCTGACCACCCAAGGTCAAGGGCAGGATTAGGCTTCAGTACAAAATGAGGTTCAGGAGACCTCCACAAAGTGTTTTGCTTCAATTTCAAGTTCTAAGCTGTTGGACTGGATACAGCCTTTTCTTTCTCCTCTTTTCCCTTTTCAGTGATCCCTTTCTAGATAGTCATTATTCCTCTGTCTCCTAACTTCTCACACCAATATACCTGGAAAAAATCTGGTTGCCCAAAGACTTGCCTCTGTGGACAAACACTGTGGCCTCGTGGAACAAGGCTGGGTTTGTAGTCCATCTCCCTGGGCGTTAAAACCCCAGCTTTGCTGCTTACCAGACATGTGACTTCAGAAAAGACGCCTTGCCTCTCTGAGTACCAGTTTCTTAACTGGTAAAATACATAATAATAATCCAGACCGCACAAGGTTATTGTGTAAATCAGATGAATTAATGAACCTGGTATGTTGTAGGCACTCAAGAAACACATTTCCTTTCCCTTCCCCTGTAGTGTGAATGCATTCTGCTATATTAACTCTATTAAGCCTTTCTGTTTTATACCCTTTTGATTCCTTTTTGTTTTCATTGGTTCAGTAAACATTTATTGAATGCCAACTGTGTGCCAGGACAGCATGAGGCATTGGAGAGACAACAATCAACAAAATTGACCCTCTGCCCTCCAGAAACTCCCAGGTGTGATAAGATAGTGTTGCAAGTGCTATGAAGTGGGAGGGGGCAGCCCCTGCGGGCTTGGGCAGGGGGTTAAGAAGGACTGGGGGAAGTCGCATCTGAGCAAAGATCTACAGAATGAATAGGAGTTAGGGCAGCTGAGCAGAGAGAAGAGGGAACAGGAAGTAGCCAGGTTTAGAAGAAAAAAAACCATGGAATTGGCAAGTACCCAGAACAAGCTGAGTATGGCTATCTCAGAGAAAGAGAAAGGGTGTGCAGTGAAGAAACTCGACCTTTGTCCCGTTCAACATTAAACAGGGTTCATGGGCCTGGGTTAGCTGTAGAAGGAAGAGATTTGGCCCCTAAAACAAGGTAGTGGGAAGAACCCTAAATCATTCTTCCTTAGGACTTTGAGTTCCAGAAAATGGCGGAGCCCTGCCTTTACTAAACTGCCGAGAAT